CAGGGACAGGTGTCCTGCGGGTGCCTGCCCGGGGCTGCGGGAGGCCATGGAGGGGCGGCGGGCAGCACCACCAACTCACCGAGAGAATGCGGTCTCCTCTCCGCAGCTCCCCGCTGAGGTCAGCAGGGCCTCCGGCGAGGATGAAGGACACAAAGATCCCCTCACCATCTTCCCCTCCAACGATGTTGAAGCCCAGACCGGTGGAGCCTTTGTGCAGAATGATCTTCCGGGGCTCCCTGGAAGGACAGACACAGGACAGGAAGACACGAAGGTGAGGAGCAGCAAAGCTGCTGACAGAGCTAGCCATGTCCCATCACACCAGTGGAGCTGGAGTTACCCTGAGTGCAACCTGGCGTGACTCAGACCTTGGCACCAAGGAGGCTGATAAACCAGGAGAGGTGTGGGCCGTTGCACGAGTGATATGAGACAGCGCACTGAACATCTACCACTCACACAGAGAAACATCAGACTGTGAGGTGGCATCAGGTGCTATGAGCCTGGGCATTGACGATAACACAGCCATGCTTAGAGGGTGGTCAAGCTCTTCTGCACCCATACAGCATGACAAGTGTGCCTGGAACCCCGCTTCCACACCCACGACACAGGCCCTGCACAGCTCAACAGAAATCCTAAATTTTCTGATGATGACTTAAGTCTTCTGCAGCTCAAACCATAGGCAGGCAAAGGCAGAGAGACTGCCTGGCATTGCAAAAACCCTGAATCAGTTTTCACCTTGGAGAAAACCCCAGAAGTCTGGTGGTAACAATGGCAGCTCCTAGCTCAAGCACTGGATTAAAACAGGAAGGAATAAATGACACTAGACAATTCGCACGGGTTGGCAGCAATTGCCAGCCAGCACAGCACTGAGGTTCATCAGTAGATCTGCCATGGTGACTGGCTGGATCCTGGATATGCTGGTAGAGACAACAAGGACTGAGGAACTGCCAGTGAGCTCAGCAGCCTAATCAACCCCATGCCTGCCAGGGAGCAGAGGGAGATCTTGAGAACATGGCAGGAGAGATGCTGCAGCCCCAGATATGGCATTGGCTGAGGGCACCCTTGCTGGACCCCAAAATACTGACAGACTTTTTGCTAAGGGAATCCTGGGGTGGTGGTGATAGCCAAGAATGAAGGGGAATGAAGTTTGCCTGAGCAGACAGCATGAAGCTTAGCAGCCTGCTCCCAGAACACTCTTAAAATATCTTTTTCAGTCCCCCGGGGTAGGCTAGAGCATCACTTCAGTCACCAGAGCAGATCGGGGAAGGTTTTGGTGCTTTCATGGATGCAGACAGCAAAATTTACCTCTAGGGACGCATTCCAGCAGCCCAGGAAAAGCATCATCCTTCCTCACTGGGGAATGCTGATGGGCCAAATGTTACTTACCTTCAGGCAACCACCTTATAAGGAGCAATAGGAGCAGTAGATAGACAGAAGTGCAGGATGCTCCTGCCCTGCCCAGACTCTGGGTTCAGCTCAGCCTGACACTTGCAGCTCTCCCACCTGCTCCTCCTCCCATCTCTGCACCTCTCACCAGGCACAGCATCATCCTGGTCCCCTTCCTCTGTTCACACTCTCCTGTGGCCTCACTGCTGCTGGAAGGGGACAGAGATAGCTGCCTGCTGTAGGACACGGAAGAAGAGACATTGACAGTGAACCTTGCAGCATGGCAGGCTCTGCTAGTGGTGCTGTCTGGTAGGTGTCAGAGGCAGGAACATTCTGAATTCTCCATGCCACAGCCACCCTGCACTACTGCTTGTGTCTGCCTCTCACTGTCGGGCCAGAGGCTTCCCAGACCCATACACAGGGCTTTTTATGGAAGTGCTGTAAAGGACTAAGCCTGTGCTCTACTAGATGCTAGACTTGATCCTGCAGGCATGGACAGCACAGCCCTGACTGGGGGAGCACCCAAGAAAGGGTAAATTCACAGATTAGATCCTCGTGCCTGCAGCTCCACACACACTGTGCATTGTTGCAGCCCCTTGCTTTCAAACACAGAGGTATGGCAGAGTTGTAATTCCAGCTATGAATTTCTGATGGGGCAGAGGCTGAATCTGCCTTATGACCTTCAGAAAGTACCTGCTTTATGCTTATTTTTGGATGCATTCAAGCTCTGAGACAAGCAGGGCTCAGGATTTTGCTGGACTGTAGCACAGGGCTGGGATACACTGGGACCAGGAGAAGACCAGGGAATCACTATGGAAATGGCAACCTGTCCTCAGGATGCCACCAGCACTTGGCTCAGGGGTGGTTGTAAGGGGGTGGAAAGGGCAGAAAGAGCCTGGGGCTAGATCTCTCCCAAGGGGAAGAAATAGGTCAGATTTCCGGGTCTGCAAATGCTGCCTTCAACCAGCTGATGACCTTGCTCTGCCTCAGGTTTTGCTGCTGCCCAAACAGAGTGCAGGAACCACCACCCTTACTCAGCCTGGGTGGGGAAGCATGAGAACCCATGAGAATCAGATGATTTGGTGGAAGGTAGAGAGACACTGCAGGAACCAAGGAGAGGAAATGAAGCCCCAGACAGGTACATCTCAGGTCTCAGTCATTACACACACTCTCTGCTCTCATCCTCATCCTGGGAGGCAGGACATTTCCTGCAAGGCAGATCCCATGCTGGACGTTGCAATGTTAACACTGGGACCTCAGCACAGAGCAACTGTGGGGATCCTGTGGGGCTGTGCCAGGGCTGGAGGGTGGCAGTGGAACTCATTGGAAAACAGACACTCTACTCCATGGCCCTGAGTGCTGCAGGACACAAAGGTCACTGGAGCCATGTCCATGTCTGCAGCAGCACTTGTGTTTTTTTCTTGATATTGGATCCAGGCCAGGACCTCAGCCTCTCCTGGGGAATCGCCAGCAGGTGCATCCTGGGAGACAGCTGCTTTTTCAATGGAGTTGCTGCCTTTCTCCACACCAGCAAGATGTGTTTGGAACACACTGGTCCCAGTGTACAATCTTGGTGATGCACAAGCCAACAGACCTGACGCAATAATGCTGCCCTGTGGGGGTCGGTGACACACATGAGGTTTTCAGCGTTGCCCTGGGATAGATGGGGAGGTGCTGAGTCCACTGCAGGCTGTGAATCCGGCAGGGAGCAGTGGGGTTGGTGGGGGGACAGTGGCGAAGCAGTGCCAGCCTGCCTGCAGCGGGGCCCTCCGCAAGTCAGCATCACCCTCTGGCGGCCACCAGCCCGTGCTGCACCAGGGCCACTGGCGAGCCCCCGCCGGGCCACTGCCACCGGGCGGTATCCAGCCCGGGCTGGGCTTCGCTCTCTGCTCTCTGGCCCACAAATCAACGCGTCAGTGCATGTAGGAAAGGACCCCCTGGTGGGACAGGGGTCCCTGGCGAGAGGCACGTTTTCCGAGTGCTGGGACTCAGTCCCTTCTGTGGCACAAAGTAATGGCAGAAAGCACCACTCCCCAGTGCTCTGACAACACAGAAATTGCTACACCTGACAAAGACACAGCACCAGGAACAGGCATCATTGGTGCCAAGAACAGTTGGGAGAGATGGGGCATTGGAAGAAGCCAGTGCTTTACAGGTCATTCTGCGTAGTGGCACCTGGCTCTGGCTGAGCACCAAGAAGTGAGAAATTAATTCTTGCGATGAAGGTGAGTGCAGCCACTCTCCAGGAGGACAGTGGACCTGATGCTGGATGGCAAGTCAGAGTATCTTGCTCTGGCATTTGCCAGTGCCCTGCAGAACTGGACAATCCCAACTGAGGTTATGGCATCTTCCATTGCAAATGCAACCCCAAAACCAGCCTGCAACCTTGCTTCTACCTACAGAGCCAGCCTGAAGCCTAACCTGAGTGTCAGTCCTAAGGATACAGCCCTGGCCCTGGGGATATCAAACCCAGAGCAGGCTCAGCACTGGTTCCGAGGCTGTTGCAAGCAAAGGGAAGGCTGTGAGCACTGGCAAGCAGAACAGGACCAGCCAGGTCTCTCTCTCCTGTCCTCAGCATGAGGTTTTGGGGAAGTCTTACACCATGTTTAGGCTCAGAGCAACATCTCCTTTGTGCTCCTCTTTATGTCCTGAGTTCAGGAAACAAACATGCTTGTGAAGTGTAAATGATGCTAGGGAGGAAAAGGGGGCTGCAACAAGACTGTGCAGGAGGCTATCAAGCTCGAGTCTGGTAGCTGCTGAAATGGCATCTGGCTGCTGGGCTCAAGAATCGTGAGCTGTGTCCCCTCCCAGCCCCTCACCCCCAGCACAGCTCTGCTTGGGGCCTGCTAGGTCAAAGCCTGGCACTGTTAAGGGCACCTCGTATTCCAGGTATTGTAAAACAAGTAAGAGAATGAAGCTGAAATGCAGATGTGTAAGGCTTAGGAAAGAACAGGAGGGGGAATGGGGAAGCAGGGGATGCGGTGAGCCAGGGAGTGGCACAGCAGGACAGGTCTCAGGGAGGGTAAGCACGGATCTCCCTGTGGGGACCCCAGGCTCTGCACCATCACCCACAAATGGGCTTTCAGCTGAGGTTCTGCACCAGCAGCAGGTATGAGATCAAGAAGCCAGGGAGGGAAGGAGAGGGAAGGAGAAGGAGCAGAGATTAGAGATGCTAACGCCCAGTACTCACCTGGTAAAGTCCTCATCCCCAATCATGTGCCGAGGGATGGGTGAGTACCGGGATGGAGTCACCTGGGGAGGGACAGGGTAGGCAGGCTTGTTCTCAACGCTGCCCAGGTAGCCCAGACTGGAGTTATGGCTTATGTGGTTGTCAGCCAAGGCTGAGAAGGCTGCAGGGGAGGAGAAGGGCATCAGGAACAGAAATTTATCTGCAACATGGATGGGGAGACCAACCCAGTGTTGCCCACCACCCCAGCACACTCCATCCCCCCCAGCCCTGTGGTGCCTGGGCTGGCATGCCAGTGGCCAGTGCTGTACGTACTGCTGGCGTAGTCGGGGGGCGCGTACATGTCGTTGAGGTGGATGTTGCCAGGCTTGGCCACTTTCAGGTACACCATGTCAGAGGTGTTCTTCAGGGCAGCCACTGCCTCCTCATGCCGCACGTCCTGCAGATTTGTGTTGTTCACCTGCCGGAGGCAAGGGGCTGCGTGACACGGCTGCAGGCAGGAGGGCAGGGGTCAACGCAGCCCTGTAGGAGTGGAGTGGTTTCCCACAGGGTAGCTGCCACAGGACCTCTGGGGACAGGGTCCCATCAGCATGGGTTCGGCCCTCCCAGCTGCAGCTGGTGCTATGCCTGCCCCTCCCATAGCACTACCCCAGCAGGGAGCCTATGGGCGTGGGGCTGCCAGCAGAAGAGGTGCTGGGGTTCAAGATTGACACCACAGCATGAAGGAGACTGCCAGCTTTGCCTAACAGCTGGCTGTGGGAATGGGGCTTACCGCGAGCAGCCGGTCCCCAATTTGCAGGCGCCCGTCCTTCTGGGCAGCACCTCCCTCGATGATCTTGGTGATGTAGATGCTGTTGTCCCCAGGGATGTGCTGGTTCCCAATGCCCCCTGCGATGCTGAACCCCAGGCCTGAGCGGGAGTGAGAGGGCAGGTAAGGGGTGAGAGACTGGTGCATGGACAGAGCCCTAGCCTGGCACCATGGCCCCTCTGCCTCACTGGGCTTCCCACTCTGCCCCCAACCCAGCAGGCAATGGTCCACCCTGCTGCTATGGGGAGACAGCCCAGGCACCATGAACTGCAACGCAGGGCTATTCCACACCCCATGCCCCACAGCATCTCACACTGCTGGGTCACCCTGTAGCATCCTGCACTGTTGTGGGGCCACCTTGCATCCCACATCCACTGTGATGTTGCCTCACACCCTGTGGCATCCCACACCAAGGGGTCACCCCATACCATCCCATGGGGCGGCCGAGCATCCCACTCCTGCAAGCAAAGTGAGGGGTTCACCTTTGGGGCCCTTCATCAGGTTGACCTCCATGATGGTCTCTGGTGGGGGCTGCCGGCGGCGCACCACGAGCCGCACCACGGGGCCTGCTTCCTTCAGGGCTTCCACGGCTTTGCTGTGTACCACCTCAGAGACGTCCACGTCGTTCACCCGCAGCACACAGTCATTCACCCTGAGGGTATAGGGTGGCCCTGAGCTCCCCAGGGGAACCACTTATGCCACCCTCCTCTGGTCGTGCAGACCCTTTTGCAAAGGAGAGCTGCTCAAGCCAGCAAGATCCTGCCCTAATGGACTGAGGAGGAGACCCCTCCCGAAGGGTGTGGCAGCAAGGTGGGTCCCTCCACAGCGTGATCCTGATGGAGATGGGAGATGAGGGCGAAGGCTCAGAGGATCCTGGCTCAGGCCAGAATGGGAGCCAGAGATGCGCAGGGAGGAGAGAAGGGGTGACTGCAGACAGAAGGCTGGTGGCAGGGGACCATGGGCATCCCTGCACAGATGGGACCTGGCTGTGTGGAAGGGATCTTTTTTTACCACGGTAGGGGGCCGGGGGTCAGGAGCTACCTAGAGGGTCCCTGGGGAGATCCTGGATGTCACCCTGATGGGGCAGCTCCCCTGGCCCTGTACTCACCCAAGACGGCCATCCATGGCTGCTGCTCCCCCAGGGATGATTTTAGTGATGAAGATACCGGGGTCATCTGGAACGTGGGGGTTGTCGATTCCTCCTGCTATGCTGAAGCCAAGGCCGGAGTTACCCTGTAGGAAATTGAACACCATGTCTTTCCTTCATCGGCAGACACTTGCTGCTGGCCCTCCCAAAGCAGTTTCCCTCCAGCCATGGCTGCCCAGGGTGCGAGAGCCCTTACAGCATCTGTTGTGCCCTAGGGTGCCCTGCTCAGGGAAGAGAGGGCTGGAGGGGAGGCTGGCACTCATCAGCTCAGGTGCTCGGTACAGCAGTGCGGAGCACTGAACAGATGGAGTGGGAGCCGCTGAGGACCTCCCTCGCCACTGCGTCTCTGCCAAGAGACTCTGAGACAGGCAGTGAGCTGTGGGAATAAGGGGTGGTCTAAGGCACATTAAACCTCCCCTCACTGGCTGGTCCCCAGGAGGAGACACCAATGCTGCAGCCCGCACTGGGCAGAGGAGCTTGTGCCTGTCACGAGCATCCCACCCCTGCTCTCCTTCGCTCTCGGATGAAGCTCCAGCACAGAGCCAACCTGGGGACCAGCAGTGCTGATGCCAATATTTGCAGGATTGGGTAGAGAGGGCTGCCAAGATTGAACAGGTTCTCTGGTTCTCTGGTTCTGTCTTCCCTTCCTCCCAGACACACTTTGAGCATCTCCCTACAGCAACAAATTGAGGCAGAAGTCGGCCCAGAGGCTAAAGTCAGCCCAGGGGGAATGCAGGGGCCATACTATGTCTCCAGTCCCAAGTCAGTAGTGTCCCAGGATGAGTGACCATTGCCCCACACCACCTCTCCTGCTTGCAAGATCCTCATTAGCAACATACTCATAGGCACTGCTTCCAGCTCCATGCTTGATGGAAGAGGACAATTGCTGCTTTTTCTGCTCTGCCTTGAAAATCAGATGGCTCCTTGCCTTGTTTTCTCATGCGAAAGAGCTGACACTTAGTCATATCCTATCATTCCTGCCTTTCTCATACTCAAATGGGCTTGGGCCAAGCACTCTCCTGGCTGCCCATGGGCCCAATGCTCAGCATTATGCAATGGAGAGCTCTGCTCTTCTGGAAGACCTGTGGCCAGGAGACCTCAGGCTCCCTGAGATCACCACCAGCAGCCAGCAGTCTCTGTTCTGACTTTACACCACTCTTGACACAGCATGTGGCATCTCTGGGAGCTACCAATGCCTCTCACTGTGCAACAGTCCCAGATGCCCTCCTGCTGGCTGGGATTTGGACAGCAAGTAACAAGGAGGCACTCAACTGTGTAAGGTCTGAGGTTTCTCTCCCTCCTCCAAGCTGGATTCTGGTTACCCCGTGCCCAGCTCAAAAAAGCTGTCATGAGAGACCCAGACTGTCTCCAGCAAGACAGGTAAGACTGCAAAAAGGTCTGCAGCCATGTGTTGTGCCTGTCTACAGAAGGGTGTGCTCTAATGCAAGCTACAAAACCTGAAAATTATCTGGGAGGTGTTTATTTTTATTTCGATAAACCTTGAAATGGAGTTCAAGGGATTTCTTAGAGGCATCAGAGTTAATGTAGACACAGAGGCAGCTCCTGCTGCAGACATGTCTCTCTGCAGATGGCATTTCCTCAGTTATTGCCCCCAAAATGCTGCTGCATTTGCCCTTGTCTTTACAACAAGGACAAGGATTAATAACAGTGACAGGCCATCAATTTTGGGGTACACTGAGGTAATCTCTGGGAGACAAACACCCCAGCAAGGGGATAACCTCACCCACAGGCACGAGCAAGCTTCTTCTGCAGTAAGACAGGGCTTTTAGATCCCACTGGGGACCAGATGAAGGGGAAGAACCTGTCTATGATCGATGCTGGCCCTGGCTACTAAGCACTGAAATTCCCTCATGGCGTCTTGCTGCTGGAGAGGGAATTGTTACCTGGGGCTTTGGAACGGGGGCAGCAATGAGTGCTGCCTCTCCATGCAACCCTGCCAGCACTCCTCCTGCTCCTGTTGTGGCTGAGGACAGAGAACGCTCTGAAGAAACCTTGAAAACATGGTTTCTGCCTCTAAATTGGGCCTTGAGCAAGAAGCATTCAGCCCAAAAAGGAAGCATCCCCTAGGCTGGTTTCGTCAGGCATGCCAGGGAAGCTGTGAGTGAGGCGGCAGCCCCAGATAACCTTCTGTCCACCCACCTCCATGATGCAGAGCCAAAGGGAGGAGGAAGATGACTAAAGGCAGAGAGGAACAGAATAATGAGCGACGTGTCTTCCACTGTGATGCTGGCCATACAGCTGGACTAAGTCACCAGGCATGGCAGCAAGGAGGAGGCAAAGTGTACTGCAGAGCGCTGGGGGCAGCCTTCCGCCCTGGCCATCCCCGTTCAAGCAGGGCTGTGCCCACCTCTTGTAGCAAACTTTGGGCTAGCTTTTCCCACTCCCTCTTCATCCCTCCATCTCTGCCACTCCCTGGGTGCCAGGGGAAAGCCCTACTTGCCCTGTGCAGTATCAGCTTGTCCCTGGATAAGCCCCATCCATGGAGGGACTTAATTTCAGCCGTGGCCAGTGTGGTGCAAGTCATCAGCTCTGCATTGCCAACAGACAAGAAAAGGCTTGAGCAGAAACTCTCCCATTGTGGTCTGGTTTACTAGAAAACCTGTCCTTGTTGCTTAGCATCCTCAGGCTGTGTAGCCTGGAGCAATGGGGAGTGTGGTGGGAGGCAGGCATTGGTCCCCCATGTCTGGCTGTGGGATGTGCCTGCCTGCATGCCTGCACGAGCAGAGCTCCCTGCACCTCCATTTTCTGGCAAAGGCGGTGACAAAGAGTCTTTGTGCTGGTAGTTTTGTGGGGGCGAGGGTGTGAATGAGGGAGGTGAGGGAGGAGCCCTCCTCCCTCCCTTCTGGAGGAGTTTGCAGGGGTGGGGAGCAGCAAGCCCACCCCTCTTCATGCCACAGCGCAGTGCAGGGAAGACAAGTTCGACACACTAAAAGCCTCCAGAGAGAGCAGGGAGTGGAAACCAACCCGTCCCCATCAGCTGGTGCAGGGATGCAGGGAGTACTGTCTGTGCTGGTGGGAGGGCGAGTGGGAAGAGGTAACAAAGGCTGCCAGCGGGTGAGTAAAGAGCACTTACCCTTTCCAAGACAATCTCCTCATATTTGAACATTCCATCGCTGCCATTCACCTGGGGAAGAGGGAGACCGTGCGTTATGGTGCTGTGTCAGTCCCAGGGGGATTTGCTTTTCCTCAGTGACAGCCAAATATCGAGAATCCAATCTAAAGCTGCGCTATCATTGCTGAAAAAGTCTTAAACACAGTCACTTGAACCTGCCCTGAAATTCAGCCATGCACTGCTTTTCTTTCTGGGCATGAGCCAAAGCCCACTGACTTTAATACATTTTAGTGCAAAGCCTTTATTCTCCTGGCTCATTTCTCCAGCAATGAAAAGGAACACAACTGAAGGCACAAAAAGAAATAACACCTTTGTTTTGCAGCATGTAATTAACCTCAGGAATTCACTGCTGCTGGAAGGAAAGAAAGGGGGCTGGTCCATTTAAAGGAAACAAAATAATGTCTGTACATATGATAAACACCTTCAGCAGCTTATATATTTTAAATCTTTTGGTAGCATGATTGTGTTAACAGGGAACTCAGAATAATTTATTCTGCTGAATTAGTTGGGTGCGAAGGAAATGAGGTGTGTGTGGGGCACGGTAAGATGGGAAAATATTGTGATGCTCTTGCATAAAAAAAAATGTTGCTGCCTGTCTCAATGCTGTTCACCATACTGATCTCTACGTTTAAAAATCTCCCATAACGAGGGTGTCAAAGCAGGGCTCTAGGAAATGTAGCGGCTTCAAAAAAAAAGGGATGAAACTGCAGGCTCTAAAATAAGAAATAGTAAATGTACAGATCAAAAACTTCCACTTTCCCCATAGGCAACAATGCACAGGAAAATAAGGCAGCAGTTTCACTCCAGGTCACCAGGATCAGGCCATAAACAGCTGCAGAGGTCTAAAATTTAGCAAGATTTGCAAAGCAACTGGCTGTTGAAACATCCAGAGCTGTTGCACTCAGGAGCAACAGTTTTGGAGGGGCCTGGATTCAACCTCACCATTTGAATCATGCTAGGAAACAAGGCATGGGACACAGGTAAGTCTGCACAGCATGGTGGAGGAGGCAAGACCTGGTGCTCAGCAAGCAAATGCCTCTCCCATCATTGCAGCACTGCCCCTGCCCATGGTCCCTGGAGAGTTCCTCATGTGGATTTTACATTCACCATCAATTGATGGCTTGTAGATTCCATGGATTCACTTTCCATGCACTGCTGTGTCTTTGTTTGGACACCAGTCCCCTTATCTGGTGCCAGCATGCTGGTTGTGCTCTGCTTGCCCAGCTCCCTGCTATCCACCCCCACAGAGGCACAGCCTGGCCATCCTTCAAAACCCCACAGTGCCAGGTTGTTAGATGCAGGGGACAGCAAAGATCATTTATGCTGAAGCAATCATCTGACACCATGGCAGGAAACTCAGTGAAGTGACTGTGAGGCCCTCTTAACAGTTAGAAGAGGAAATAGGAGTTTTTCTATGTGGGAATAATCAGATGCCCAAGTGAAAACATGGTTCTGCATGCCAGGATCTGAGGTGGGGCTGTGCCATCTGCAACACAAAAACTGTGCCTAGTTGAGCCCCGGTGAGGCCAAAGCAATACCGCACCCTCTTGTGGGTACTGTGCTTCAAGAAGGATGAGGTTGGGGAGAGTCTGGAGTGGAGAGACGGGATGAGGACTCCAGAGAACATGGGCTGAGAGGGTTGTCCCTCCTTGGATGTGCTCTGTGCCTGGTGCCTCTCAGCCACTGGAAAATTTCAGGGCACGGTTCAGTGAATGAGACATCCAGATGCTCCAATATTAGGATGCTCTGATCCTCCCAGCACATTGGAAAAGCCTTTGGTCATCTCTTGAACAGGAGCCCTCTGCAGAAGAACATCGGGAGTGGTGGGGTTAACCCACTGTCAGATCCCTGACAGCCTTGGAGGGACAGGGACACATGGATGGTGCTACCTCCTGTAGCAGCACCACTGTGGGCCACGCTCCTGCACGCAGGAGGGCATTGCTTCCCTCACCACAGGCACCCCCTCTGCCACGGGTTTGCCTTTCACTCCTTGCATCCTACCATACTGACTAATCCTGAATCAAGCAGACTCGCTGGCCTGCGCCACCCTCACAGCCTCCCTCACCACAGCCTCCATGTTCATCTCATCTCCACAGTTGGTAGCTTGGTGCGTGGGGTGCGGCATTGCCTCTCCCTATCTTTCCAGCAACTCGGATTCCTGGCACCCTTTGCTACTACACACATTGTCCTCTCTGCTTTGGCATTCAACACAGTTGCCACACAGCCAGCCATATGCACACCCACGGCCACAGAGGAACAGCACATACATACCTACAGGATGGGAATGTGCAGAAAACTTTGACAATCTGTGAGTTGTGGAGAAAGACAGCAGCAGGCAAGCCCTGCCAACTGAGCGGCTGCTGCTGGAAAGCACCCAGGGTGCAGAGATGCCCTGGCATGCAACCTCACTGCCAGGCAAGTGAGTTTGGGGTATCCCCACTCCCCAAATCTCAGGGCTGTCAATGCTGACCAGTTTTCCATCATTCCCTGAAAGCAAGTGGTGTCAGTGCTTGCTTGGCACCTGTTGGGAGCAGCCTGCTCTGCCTGGACATGCTGTGGTCAGCCAGGCCTGACCATAAGGTTTTAGCTCTGATTATGTTTCTAAAATCCATGCAACAGAATGCCAGTTAATTGCATAAGGAAGCCAAACAGAAAACTTAATATATACCATGTAACCAAGGGAACAAGCCAATAAAGCAAACGTTCCAGTGTCGGAAAATTGAATATCAGTCACTCACTGACAGCAACACCTCCCCATGGCACCCAGCACAGCTGCTGTGACCTGGCTTAGCTGTTCCCCTTCTTTGTTGGTGCTCTGTGTTCCTCCATAGCTCCCATCTGAGGCTGTCTTAGCATTATGAGCTTAGTGGGGAGGTGCCCAGCTCTACTGTCCCTGGGCAGGGACAGCGCACTCCATCCTGCTACCATCTCCCCATTAATGCCTGCAGAGCTGACATGGATGTAGGGGGCTAACTAGCTGTTCCCAGCAAGTCCCAGTCCTAAGCAGTCTGATTTTTCATAGAACACAGTAAGGGCATTTTATCCAAGCCCTTGGATAAAATGCAGCAAGTCTACCCAAGGGCTCAGGAAAAGGACCCCTTTGCTGGCCTTTGCTTCCCTTTTGCGTTTTGAGCAGCAGGTAAATAGTCTGCAATGATGACATTTAAATCATCAACAGAAGGCTGTGGAATTAATACTCATTTGACAAACAGAAGAGCACACACCTTCCAGAGATACTGCAAGCTGTCTGCAGGCTCTGAGAGCCAACACCACACCAGCGCACGTGGAGCGCACTTTGCAGTTTGCTAAAGACTCAGGATTTGTTGGGGTTTTTTTTCTTTGTTTTGTTTTTAAATAAAAAAGAAGGGTAAATTTAGAAAGCTAAGATGGGGTTCCTCAAACCCAACCCAAATACCACACCAGGCTCCAAGAGGAAATAAACCTGCAAGAAGAATACTGCTGCCACTTTCAGAGCAGGCTCAAGCCCATATCTTGTGGTTAGGCTACAAAGGGGTCAGGCACCAGGACCTGACGGTGGAGCAGCTACGTACCAACAAAATGAAACAAGTCTGAAGGCTGGAGGGTCAGCCCTCAGTGATACCAGCCAGACTCAGGGCTGGAGGGGCACCTAGTGATGCCCCACGCCTGCTCCAGCAAGGGGAAAGGAGAGCAGTTCTATGCCAGGGCAGCGGGTGCGATGGGCACCTCCCTGCTGGTGCAGGGACTGGGAGCACTGGCCAGGGAGAGCTGTTCCTGTCTGTACATGGCAGGGGGGGCCAGAGAAAATAGGCCAAGACCTGCCCACCTCCACCTGCCCACATCCACGCATCCTGCTGCAGCACTGAGACCTATCAACTTGCTTCCAGCTAACCCCTCATCCCAACCCCTTCACATGCTCATGGTGTTGGCCTTCCGCACAGAGTAAATAAATGCTGTATTTCTGGTAAACCTTTTGCCAGAGGATGATGGGGCCTGCCAGGCTTTGGGAGAGGGAAGGTGTTTTAAGTCTGACAGCCCCAGCACACAGGTGGGAGGGCTGTATAGCAGGAACTGGCAGTGGGATGTGCCATTGCCAGCACCTGGGACCAAAGTGTGAGGGTGGCAGTTTAGTTTTGATTTTTTCCGTTTTTTAAAGTTTACAAGCATGTTTTTCCCTGCTCAAAGGCACTAGACTGTGGTGGCCATCTCTGCTACTCCTCACCGTGTAGTAACAATGGCTGGGGACCCTGGCAGCAGTCAGCGCTGCACAAGGAGGTTGCCTCTGCACTCACTGGTGGCAGAGCCTAGGGCTCCTGTGGCACTCGCTGGCCAGGATCAGGTTTGGGAGGCACTTGGCTTCTTCAAACCTGGCTTTTAGAGACGGAGGAGGTGGTGGGACCTTGCTGCTGGGCAGTGGGAAACCAAAGGAGCGCTCCAAGGACCCACATTATGAAACCTTCAGCTCCTCAAGGGCTTTAGAGCGACCTTCCACGTTCACTTTGGGACTGCCTGGCAGCAGCTATCATGTATCCTTGGCAGCAGGAAGTTTTTTAACCTTCAGAGAGGCAGCTCTGAGATGCAGAGACCCTGTTCACCATGGGAACTGTGCTTCGGATGTTCCACCTCCCCACTGTTGACCTGCTGGGCAAATCACACTAAGGGGTAAAACTGTGAGCAATGACTTGGAGCTGGCATGGGTGATCCCCCTCAGCACCTGTTCTTCCACTTCAAGGGATTCTTTTAATACAGTAGGATTTTATAAGGATTTGTTTGGGGTTTTACACCCTAGGGGTCCTGGCCTCTGCACAAACTGCAGACAGCATAGCTGAGGCCTGGCTCTGACAGTAAATGGGATACAGTGCTGCTGCTTGTATCATGCAGTGCTGCTGATGCCACACGATCTTGGGAATGGAGGTGGGTGGATAGAGAAATTGAAGCAGACTTCTTGACAAACAGCCGGGGCCAAATTCAGCCCAGCAGCTGAATTAGTCCAAGGCAATCAATGGAGCTAGAACAGGAAGGAACTAGACTAC